AACCATACATACCATACATATGACATTTTGCTCATTTAGCAGAAAAACAAGCTGTTTTGAAAAAGCAAATAGGCTCTCAAAATGCTTGTTTGAGTTAAAGTTTAGAAAGTATCCGAGGGCTCAGATAATTTTCATATGAATCAAATTTTTATGGGAACAATTCAATTTATTGTTCAGTTGCAAAATTTCTGCCGATTGCAAGTCTAACACTCTAAGTTAAATATGAATTGATTATTAACAATGAAAAAAAAGTTTCGGAAAACGTTTCAGATGGATTGACGATTCTCAACAAAAGAACAACAAAAGAGCGATATACTTTGGCGGAATCTCTTTGACTATAGTCCAATTGAATACCACTATGCAATGCCGAAATGATGGATGTCGAATTGTCTTCTGCAAGGTGAAACATCCCAAAAGTTCCAATAAGGTTTTGTATTGCCAGTTGTTCCACCATCATGTCATTTTGATGAGCTTCTTTTGGGCCTCGTGTACACCTTATCGGTGGTTGAATTTCATTCTCATTACCTTTTGACGTTTTAGCCTGAAACCTTTTAGCTTGGAATTATTATATCGTAATCATCTGCCAAATGTACCCTAATTTTCTTTTTAATATGGATTTTTGATGGACTTCCACTCCACCTCTACTAGATACCACCGTTAATTGACTTGAAGTTAGAGAGCCCCGCCCACTCAACTTTCAAAAAACCCTAGCTCCTCGACCTCCATTCTTGTGCCCGAAGAGCATCCCCTAAATGATCGGTAACACTGCCCGTTACACCGTTTTTGCATTTTGAAAAATTTTTGCAAAAACGAGTTCAATGAAGGTCAAAATTCTCACCATATGTAAATTAAGTTCAAAAAAACTTTTTTCGAACATCACTCGTTTGAGGAGGGGGTGCGTGGGGGGTTGTTGCTGGGGGAAGGGATGCTGCTTGGGGGTTTGTGCTGCTGGAGGGGGGTGCTGCTGGGGGGGGGGGGGGTTGATAGGGGAGTCATTGATGGGGGGTTGATAGCGGGTGGTTGATTGGGGGGGGGGTTGATTGGGGGAAGGGGTTGATGGGGGCTTTGATTAAGTCTGTTAGTCCGTGGCGGGATTGGTTACGCCCTAGGGGGCTGAGTAGATAGTTACTAAATTCATGAAAATTAACCTCTTTGTTTGGTATCGCTGCACCACCGAGATATTGATTTTCAGCGAAACTTTTTATGCTTGCAGATGTAAAATTTGACGGACTGGTTTTTTCAGGCAAAATAATCTGAAAATGAAACTGTAATCTGAAAAAATTAATCAAACTAATTAGTATAATATGTAATCTGAACGGCAATCGTGTGGAAAACAGCACTTAGAAATTTATTATGGAAATGGTATTCAATTTATTGAGAAGAAAAGGAGACGTTGCCTCTACTTAATGATTATTCGTATACGCAGCCTGGACCTACTTAACAATCCCCTCCCCCATGTTACCTACTTAGGAATCTCCTCCCCTATAATTAAAAATTCTTTATCATCAAATTCAATTGTCAAACGGGTACAATTGATGGATATGATCACAGATATTAATAAAACAGTTGTTGTTTTTAGCATACCGGTCTCTCCACATAAACTCTTGCAAGTACCAGTTTAACATTACGCGGCAACACCCCAACAGTTTTTTTATTTGCAGTTTTTTTTGTATTCCAATACAATTTCACATTTTTTGTGTGCACACCAGTGGTCGGCTCAACAAAACGGAGGGAATGATTGACAGTTTTGTGAATGAAACCACAATTTTTCAACTGACTGTCAGCCCGCCATTCGTCAGAGTGAATGACAGATCCTTTTTCGACAACTGATTCGATGATAGGAAGCAAATTTTCCACGTTTCGTCGGTCCACAATCTCCATGTATTCAATCGCCGGCTTGAAACTGGTGTCAACTATTCCAAAAACCCAAATAGGGTCGTTCGGGGCTCGTCCACGATGATGTTTAGGCATGTGAGAAAAGCAGCTATCGTCGATTTAAACGATAACATTATGCCCACCAAGCCTAATTAATTGGGTAATCCAGTTTGGAGTTTTACTTGCTTATTTGACGTCTGAATACTCCATAGATAAATAACGTAAGTCCAAAAGTAATTTCGAAAAAGCTTTCTTTTCTAAAGGAAATTGACAACTTATGCGGGAAACATTTCGTATTTTGACATTTCCAAGAGTATTCATCCTTTGTTTTTTTTATATTTAGTCCACAACAAATATTTTTGGCATTCTGAACACCGAGGACAACGAGGAATTAAGTTAAGTTGTTTTAAATTAAGTAGGCATAAATCAATGTCGTCCAAACAAGGCGATATTTCTTCCCTAAAGTTCATTTACGAGCTTATTTGCTAAGTGTAACAGCTGTTTCCAATTAGAACTATCTCGGTTTTAGAATTTGCTGCATTCTGATTGGCTGAAAGTCCGAATAATTTGCTGGTAAATTGATAGCTGAACCTATTTAACAATTTCCCCCCTTATGTAAAAGGGGGGAATTGTTAAGTAGGTCCCGCATCCTAACGGCAGAAGCAGAAATTGTCCAAATACAAGAAAGCGTTCAGCTCAGCTTGCTTTTATTCGTTGCTTGTGCTAAATGTAACCAAAAAAAATTACAGTTTTTGCGTAGTGCTGTTTGTGTCTGTTCGATCAAGATCTGCAAATAATTGATTCAAGTATTATCAAGTCTGAGTCACGTATACTCATGTTGAGTCAAAGTATGCTCAGCTACACTGCAAAAAAAAAGAAATTATTTCATATCTGATCCAGAATGTTTCATATATTAGCAGACCAGATGACTGCTGAGGCATCTATTTTGCAAGATCAAAGTAGTGAGCAAGCTCAATACGCGAATAGCAAGACTGCTCGTATATCAGGGCAAAGCCCTCAATGTTTCGTTTCAACTGCCCCTTAATCCATATCAATTAATTTTTTGGGAAAAGAATGTGAAAAACTATTGATTTTGGACAATAACAAAGATCAAGCACAAAAGTTCAAGTTGAAAAGTTAATACGACCGATTAGCTAAAGTAGCTTCACATCAATTTGGAACAAGTTTTTTGTGCGGGATAATTAGTCACGCATAAATAGTTCGCGTTACACCTGCATGAACTTTGTAAAAAATGATCGGAGGTAAAATAATTTTTTAAATTTATTTTCAGGGAGTCGATATCCTCAATGGGTTAAAAAATGTTGATTTAAAACTATCATTTTGATTGCCGAAAATTTACCGAGTAAAAAACCACCCCAAGAAAAAAATTATAAATATATAAAAAAAAATTCAAAAATGGCTACTTAGAAATTCGGAATTTGACTGAAAAAAAAACCATCCCGAGCACAAATATTCCGACATTTTCTTCGAAAATACTCGGAACAAAAATCAACAAATATCGGGAAAAAAAGCAGCTCAAACATAAGTTGAATAATTTTAGAGTCCTCGTTATCTTAGAACCGTTTTGGCATTTCTCGTTTTCGAGAAAGAGCCTAAAAATCCTAAAAATAGCTGAGAAAAAATTAAATTTGTGTTAAGTTTTGAACATGTATTCGAAACAAAATGCAAAGCAAACGTAGAAATAATTGGCTCCCATTTTTGCCATTTTTCTTCTTCATTGACTACACATCTTTATTTTTGAACCTAACGTGCACGCTAAATTTGCTTACTATAGATTAGACAATTTTTTTCTCAGTTGAGCCGTTACCCAGGAGGTAAAAAACAATTTCACGCATGAGGGATTTATAATAGATTGCATAAATAGAAATAAGTCAGACGAAAAAACATTTTCAACGCGTAAGGAGGCAACGCCTTTTTCATGAAAAAGAGCAAAATATTCAAAACTTACAAAAAACATGCTGCTAAACTTCGCACTAGGGGCTCGAGAATTAATTTTTCCCTCGTGCGGTCAAAAAAACTTGACTTCACATACCATCAGACAATACCGTATAGGTTGACCAACCTCTTAGACCAACGAGGTTGTAGATAGATAGCTTTTACGTGAATGTCGCACATTCGGCGCATCGCACATTTGACCTTAACACCCCTAATGCTTCTCAAAAAAATATTGACTTAGTTCACATACCATCAGACAGTTTCTTAGGTTGACCAATCTCTTACGAGGATTGTAGATGGCCTCTTCCTGATTGAGGCAATTCGGCCCATCGCAAATTTGACCCTGACCCAGGGGCGCATCTAGGGTTTTCTCGAGGGGGAGGGGGCGGATTTTCAAAAAACTTTTTTGTAGGCCAATCAAATTGATTTTTCGAGCTCTGCCAAAGCACTAAGTTTTGGCCAAATTTTCTGCGCAGCAGGCAAAATTTGGACAAAACATGCCAAAAAATGCGTTTTGAGGCACTTGTTGGAAAATTTTGACCAAGTAATCGCGTTTTTTTTTCGGCGCGAGCTCCCCCTAAAACTTAAAATATATTGGCGCCAAAGGGTCCGTCGGCAGGGGGTCGAATCCCTGAAAGTCAAGCGTCCCCCTGCCCCCCCCCCCCCAACCCGCCCCTGCCCTGACCCCTTAAATTTTTGTCAAAGAAAATCTCGCTTTGATTGGTGAAAGAACTGTTTCAGAGGAGAAACACGCACTTAAAATCAAATGAAGCGAAATGAGTGAGAAGCGAAACGTATGATTTTTTGTAGCAAGTCTGTCTTATGGCCATAGTTTTTTTATTACTATGCCTAATCTTTTATCAACCAAAAAACGAACTGAATTGTTCAAAACCTGTTTTTTCAACATGAATCGAAAATGATAATGAAGAAAATTAACAGCAATAGATTAGGCAATAAAAGCGGAGCCTTTTAACCAAAGCTTTTCGGTCTTTCGAGGTTTTTGGTTGCACGCTGAACTTGACAATAAGGCAAACAGTAATGAGCAAAGGTATCAGTTATTCCATATTTTAATTGTTCAGCTAATTGAGTAACTGATCCCCCTTTAAACTACAACAAAGATGACTTTTTCGTTTCTAATCTTAAGCATTTCCCTAATAGTTTCCCTTTAGACAGGATCTTTGATCTATTTGCCTTCAAAATCATACTATTAAACTAAAGAGCCAAAGCAGCGCCAATACCCTCTTTATAACACCCAAGGGTAATATAAGCGCATTTTTCACATCAATTAGTAGACAGTGTTTGCTGAAAAATGTTCAAATTTCTACTTATTTTTTTATCAGTAATAACTTTGTGCTTAACAAGTATTCTCAATTTTAAAGAGCGAACTTCAGCTAAATTTGGTTTGGGCTGGGGAAAAAATCAAGATTATGAAGCTGCGAACCAAGAATTACTTCTCAATTCTTTTAACAAAATTCAATACAATGCTTTGAATTCACCCGATGACTCGCAGCGAAACTTGCCGAAGTTCTACAGAGGGGCGACTGGAGGTTTCAGTGTGGACAAGAACTGGTTTTTGTTTCTTCTGGGTCAACACCTGAGCTCGCCTATTTCAAAAAAATCAGATGATTCTTCAAAAATTCATTCCAGATCATACACAAACGAACAGAAATGGATCGTAAGTATAAGGTTGACAGTAAAAAAAAAGAATCATATCATTTGGTTGACAAAGATGGTAAAAAAGAGGTGCTACAGTAAAAAAATGTTTATTTCTTTATTCGGTTGATCAAGATGATAAAAAACCTGGAGCACAAAACTTGTTCCGATAGTGTTCAGCGCGTTTGATCACCCCCTCCTTCTCATACGGAACATTCACATTCAATTAAAACCCAATTGTTTTCATGGTGTAAGCAATACTCGAAAAATTAAAAAAGAATCACCCAAGGAGCACGAGCTTAAGCCAGTGCAGAATCTGAAAATAGCTAGTTCAACAAAATGAGGCGTCTCTGAAATTTTTTTAATATGAGTTATCTTATCTAGAATTAAAGGGTTATTTACCAGTTATTTGGGAAAGTATGAAATTACAACAATTCTTAGGCATTCCAAAAGCAGCCAAAAACAATGTTTGTTTCTTGAGTATAATCAAGACTGTAAAAACATGTTTGGGTTTGGAGGCTTAAGCCAATAGTCTGTTTAGACAAAAAAGAATGGTTTCATTTTCCGTTCCAAAAATTTTAGATTCGTATAATCGTGTAACGCTTCAGTTTTTCGACTGTTAATAGTTGTAAATTTGAAACTTTTCAAAGCTGATGATCTTTTTTTGCTGCAGTTGTGATATATTTATTTAAACATTTCAATACGTTGTAAAATTGTTCGTAATTGATTTGCTGCCTTTATTCGTAACTGCCGCAAAAGAAATTTCACCCAACCACAAATTACTGTAGATATGAGAAAATTTCAGTGCTAAGATTTCTCCACACTATCTGACTTTACTTATAAGTTGAAACTAATACAACAAAAATTCATCTTATTTTGCTTTTTGCTTTGGAGAGTTTGTTGCAATCGGGAGAAAGTTAAAGAGGTAAAAGGAATTTCCTCTTCATTGACAATTAACAGAAATGAAGTTTTCAAAAATGAGCTAGGTGAGCAAAGGGGCTAAGCCAATAGCATGTGTGCCTATTAGCATGCGCTTTTTGCTTAAACTGGATGTGCTTTTAAGAGAAAAAAGAATAAGTGTAAATTTTCAAATAACTTCGACAACCACACGGTTTATCAGTGGGGGTAAAGTTTCACTTCTGCCTTATTAAAATTTTTGCTAAGTGCACGCTGTTTAAAATTTGAGCAAGTTTGAGCAAACAAAACGTGAAATAGAAAATCCTCAAACAACATTATTTTACATGTGCATGTTAATCGACACACCAGCTAATAGACCGGTACCCGGTGAGCAATGTATTCAGCGACTCAAAAGACTCAAAGCGACTTCAAATCAGCTTAAAATACCCAAATTCAAAAACCGAATTCGGTCATGCTTTTGCCCAATTTCAAACAAAAAATTGCTATCATCTAGATGTTACATTCAATCAAACTTTTTAGGAAAATTGATTTTAGTTTTTAAATTTTTGTCAGAAGAGTCTTAAATGTAATGTATCAAAATCATCAAATATATGACAACTGGCTTTGCGGCTTTTCATCAAAATGTAACCTAATATATTTCATCAAGTTTCAGTATAGAATTGCCATAGAATCGTATAGAATCGAAATATAATATAATCAAAAACTAATTTTCGTTTTACTTAAGAAAACTTATACACAACGCAGATCAAATTTATAGTTTATAAAATTTTTCGGCTAGGATAAATAATAAATTTGATAAAGATTGATCCAACACACTTTTTTTTCTAGCAGCTTAGGCTTCTTTGCAGAGACTTTTGGCCTTTTTTGAGACTATTTTTAAAATGATTTTTTACTCATGCAATGACTCGATTTTTTAATCAAATTATTTAAAACAATTGTTGCCTCATATTGTGCTTGATGCTTCAAAAACTCAATGACAAAATTATTGATTGAAAGTAGTTTTTCTAAGTTTAAGTTAACCATTTCAGAAAAAATATATATTTTTTGAAGAAAAAAAACTGTTTGAATAATTTGTAACACTTAAACATGGTCGTGCTAATTAAGAAGAGCTGTCAATTTTTATTGAAAAAATTAATTTGCCAAACTAAACGTTTCGTGGAACTCTCAGGGTCGCTAATTGATGAAACCTTGGGTAGTTTTTTCCAGAAGCAATCAAAAGCAATTTAATTTCATTTTTAGCTTTTTTGCATGTCGGTTTTTTGTAGGTAGGACCACAAAACTTGATGAACCACATCTAGTTCAATTCATTAACTTCCCAGGTTCAGTCATATTGAAAATATTGCCAAAGTGTTAAAGATTCTTGAAGATTTATCAAAGATAGCAAAGGAAAGTTAAAATAACTCCGGCTTTTTCCAAGGTACCTAAGTGTCTAAGCTGCATGAATACCACCTCAAAAGCATGTACGATTGCTCCGGCAGCTCAACAGAGGAATTTGTTTTTTCGTGCAATCTTCAAAGATATCAAAGAAAAGTTCCTTATTTTCTTTCGAAAAAAAACCATAGCAAATTAATGAGCAAACACTTAGTCAAGCTTCTCCTAAACTACATTAAGATACCAAAACAAAGTAAACTTCAGAGACAATTATTTTAGAATAATTTTAAGATTAATTTTTTTTAAGATTTAACCAAGATTCTTCAAGATTTTTGAAAGATATCTAAGATTGATGGACTTGGGTTCTTACTGAAAAAATACCGTAATCCGCAATTTGAGAACTTTTTTTCTCAATATTATTTCAATTCCTTCCTTTCTTTCCTTAATCAGCGTGGTTGGAACATCTTTAACTCGTGCACAGCGACCGGTTATCCTTGTTCCTACTTGAATGAACTTATTTGCACTAAATTACATTTATCATTGCTTTCAACGCTCATACGGCACTTATTGAGGCAAGATAATTTTTCACATATGTGTCCGATTAAAGGCAAGTTTTTCTCTTTGTTATTTGATAATGCTTTGTGAGGGTGAGGTGAAACTTCTACATTTTCTTTTACACAGTATTCTTTTCAACAAGACAAGACATTGAGACCAGTTAAAGAGAGCCAGACAATCCGAGAACTTTTCCTGGTATGTGCCCTTTTGGCTTCTTTTTCAGTCTCGTCAAAGTATCTTACATACCTTTTTGCCTAGATTTTCCCTGTTCACTGAATTCTAAACAAAAGATCAATAACTAAATTAAACTTAGACTTTTGATGTTTCTTCTAGATCAGCAAAACTTTCAAGGAGATAGAACATGTAAAATTCAGAGATGAGTCTTTCTCTCAGTCGCTCCAAATTTCAATTCATTTTGATTAGTTCTGATTGATTCAAAATTGGTTCAAAGTTCTGATTTGATTCTGCTTTGATATTGAGTTTGAAGCGTGTTACAATCAATTTGTTTCGGCTCAACTCATTTTTAGCTTAAGTTATTACAAAATCAAGGTCAAGTTATCACAAAATCATTTACGCCGAAATTGAAATTTCGGCCTAAGTGATGTTCGCAAAGAGCTGAAGTTCTTACCTGTTTTTCACGTAGTGTGCAAAAAAAATAGTTTCTGATGCAAAATTTTAGCAGTATTTGTTGTCTGCAGAAACTATTTGTTTTTTTTTGGATTTTTAACGGTTCAAATAATTTTGCATCATAGCTATTTGATTCGGTTTTATTGTTAACTTCCAAGTCAAACTGAGAGAAGAAAAACTAATTTTTCGAAAGTATAAAAAAACGGTAGCGAAATCTTTTCAGGAAAATAGGATTATAAGAAACTGTACGAAATGTGTATAGTCCTTAGCCATGGCCAAGAATAGTTGTCAATTTTGATTACTTCACAATTAGAATGTTTTTTTTTGTGCCAAACCAATTTAAAAGATCTCAAAATTTTCATTCTTTTGTATATACAGTGACATCAAAAACATCATTAAAAAGAAATCCGCGCCAATTATAAAACATAAGCTTTTAGATACATAGTATGCTGTTTCTACTTTTCGACAAATTAGTCTAAGAAGTTTTCCAAACAATGTAGTATTTGTTTAATAAAGCTTAAGCGTAAAAATAAAGCGTATTTTGGCACCACAGAAACCTCATGAAAATGGCAAAAAGTCGTAAAACGCTTGCCCAAAAAAATTTTCAGTGCCTCAAAACCAGATGTTTAATTTTCAGTATAATTTAGTTAACGTTCCGACCTTCAATCGGAATTTTCTGTTCTTTGGTATATTTCATCTGTTTTTGAAAATATTGCCTATTGCTTGAAAACGTTTTTCGTTTAGCAAATTTTTGCAAGATATAACTGCGATTGGAATAACTAAGCTAACAGTATAATAACTCTATCTTTTTGTTTTGTCGGTCATCAAAACTAACGAAGAACTTGGAAACAGGTGTCTAGGAGATCTGTCTGTAAACCAATGTATCAGTTAACCAAAAACGGGTAGACCAGAGCAGTAAACCAAAATAACATGATTCAGTTGCATAATCACCAGAATAGAAAACTGAATTTATTGCTTTAGTTAGAGAAAAATAATTATGTAAATCTTAGATTCCGCAAAAGATCCAATGATTACGTAATTCGTTATCTAGTAATTTACTGGCACAATTACTGAACGCATTCCGGGGTTTATTTTCCATTAAAAAAATCAGACACTTCAACTAAACATTAGTTGGATTTTATACTTTCGTCACTCTCAAAGCAAACCAAAGAACTATGGCGTAGTGTCAATTCTTTTAAATGTTTTTTCAGTCAATTTTGACTTGCTAAAGGAAAATTTGTACAGGTTCAAGTTTCAAGAGTGGTAACCGGTAATAAAAATTTTTCCTGTTAAAAACTTTCTTACACAGAGGCGAATCTGAGCTTAGCAACACTTGCGATACAGCAAGTATAGGATTAAACACAGAGGTGAAGCTTCGCTTTGCAAACACTAGTAAAAACAAGATAAAAAGCAGCTTTTAAGTGCAATAAGAAAAAGTAGAAATAAGCCTCGAATTAGTAAAAACTCGGCTACGCCTCTGCGACCTACAGCGACTAGCAAATACGAGTCTCAGGCACTAACCACTTAGCTACGTACGCTTAATAAATCGCAAACACTAGCCACAAATAAAACAAAGAATAGGTGCTACAAAACTTCTAATGCTACAGATCGTGATTATAGCAAAAGTGCAACCAAATGAGCACTTGAGCACTTTTATTTGCGAGTTAGGTTAGGAAAAGAACGTTTGTACTTATACACTACTCTGCACACACAACAAGTGCAAACAGCAAGGCACTCAAGAGCTACCAAAGAAGACTTCGAATTTTTTAACCGTAGAAACAACTAGAAAAACAAAAAATGAAAATCATTTTTTTATGTTTAAACTTATTAAAATTTTTTCAAAGAGTTTTGAGTGGAGTTGATTTTGAGCTTTTGAACAATTAAATTTGAAGTAGATTCTTAACGATTTCTTAAATAATATCAAAAGTTTGAGGGAATTAAAATATAAGGTATATAAACCAAGAGAATTCAAGCCGACAACCAATTAACTAGAAATCAACCAAAAATGTTATTGAAAATTAAACATGTACTACCCAAATACTATCCACGAAAGCCATAAAAATACTGAACTTAAGTTGGTATACATAATTTAGAAACTAAACCGAGAGCTAAATCGAAAGCCGCAAAATCATGAGCGAAAAAGTAATAACGATGTTCTGTAACTATACATAAAACAATCTATCAAGCTGAATGAAGATAACTTTGAAGAACAAAAACACGCCAAGGCAGTAGCATGCAAAATTAGCATCGGAACAAAACTTATCAAACGGAAACAAAACAAAAAAAAACTCAGCAGAAGCCCTTCATGCTGAAAAAATCCAATTCTTTATTTAAAAAAAGTGTCAGACCCACTTTTCCTCAGAATTAACACGCACACAATTTTTTTTATCAGTCTTTAGACGATGCGTTTATGGGTCACTAAGTAGATAAAAAATAAGTCAAAGCCGATTAAATCAACAAAGAAGACAAAAAAGATTCAAAAAATGAAAATTACAACCAATGTAAAAAGCAAATTTCAATTGAGCCGAATTTTTAGAATGCTTTGACCTCTAAAACAACTAACTGACTCTTTTGCACCAAAAATAAACGATTTTTAGATCTGACAGCTAAGCCGACAAAACATAAGTAATTATATAATAGGCCGAGATTTTTCTAGAACCGGTCTTTTACCGTTTGAAAAAAAACAGGTGTTGGTCGGATTTGAACCTAGAACCTTTGCCTAACCAGGCGTTTTCGTTACCTCCAGGCTAAGTGTACAGGAGACAATAAAAAATTGAATTCGCTATGAGCCAATGTACCACCAGGACTCATATTTACGGGCAGAAGTCTAGTACCCAATTGCAATACCCTCGCTTTTCTTAAGGGTTAAAATCTAAAAAAATATATGAGTATTTTCTTAAGGGTAACAATCTAAAATTTTTTCTTTGTCTTTTTGGTGATAAAATTTTGCTATTTTTAAGTGTAAATTTTTCATCTGTTTCAATGTTTTTTTTTTCAAGAAAATACCGAAACTTAGAAACAGGAAAAAACTTTTTTGAATTGCTGTTTTTTTATATGTAAAAATTTTTTTGTTTCAATTTTAAATCATTTTCTTATTAGAGTGTAGCCGAGACATTTTTTCAACATGCGTATTGGTATTTTTTTTACCAGCTGATTTTGTTATAATCTGCCGTTCTTACTGACTGGTTCGTTACTATATTAAGTTTTCCAAGTTGCCTTGGTTATCAAATTAAAGAGCACCAGTTTCCACATCAAAAAAAATCAGTTCTTTTATGATACTAAGGACCCTCTTCCGAATGAGCATTTTCCGACTTCAATTTCAAACAAACATTTAGGTTTTTCAAAACTTTTTGAATTTTGGTTCCTTGGCGTATTAACGCAGTTTGTGACTCATTCGTTGCCGAAATCATCACAGCGCTCGCCGCAAAAGTAAGATATAAAATGTACACACAATAAACTACGGAAAGACGACCTCATTCTAACTTTTAAAATGTTGAAGAATTGGTTCCAACAATAACTACTCACTTAGGCTAAAAATGAGTTCCAGTAGATGAAAATGTAATTGTACATATATACTTTTTAAAACTTTTCCAGCTTCGTTTTTAATCTTGTAACTGATTGAACTAACTAACTAGCTCACATATTCTCGCATATGTAACACAATCATTTATCTCAAATTTTTCAATGTATTAGTCATTTATTGTTTTTTATTGTTAGTCATTTGTTGTTTTTCTGTTAAATCAAGTTGATTTGGATAACTAATAAAAACAAGACTGCTCGTATCAGGGCGAAGCCCTGAATGTTCCGACTGCCTTTTAGGGTTTATTGAGCAGCAGTAATACATAAAAAAAATTAAATGAAATAAAATAAAATGAAATTTTTTTTTCTCCAAAATTTGAATTTTTTTAAATGAAAATCATCCCCCCACACGCCATATAAAGTACAAAACAATAGATTTTGCTCCTTGTAACAAATCAATTATGGCAAATAAGCTTCGTTCAACCAATTTGGAACGATTTATAAGACGGATTAAATCTCCGCTTACGCGTTAATAGCGCGAATTATATTGCGCGTTAATTGTCCCAAATTGGTCAAAATGGCCAAAATGGCAATCTTTAAACCCTCATAACTTTACGAAAAATGATCACAGGTGAAATATCTTTTCAAATTTAAGCTCAGGACAACAATACGTTTTGAATGATATAAAAAAAATTCCGTCAAAAATGGCTAGTTAAAAAGTCGAAATTTGTCTGAAGAAAAAAAAACCCACCCCGAGCACAAATATTCCGTTACTTTCGTATCGAAAGTCGGAACAAAAACTTAAATGACTGCTAGGAAAAAACTTCGATCCTAGAAAAATATATGGAAACGGAAACACTAAGCTCTCTTAATCAAAATTAAATAAAACAAGACTGCTCGTAACAGGGCGAAGCCCTGAATGTTCCGACTGCCTTTTAAGATTTATGGAGCAAAAATAACTTAAAAAAATTAATTGAAATAAAATAAAATGAAAATTTTTTTTTAGTTTGAATTTTTTTAAATGAAAATCATCCCCCACACGCCATATAAAGTACAAAAGGATAGATTTCGTTCCTTGAAACAAACCAATTATGGCAAATAAGCTTCTTTCAACCAATTTGGAACGATTTCTAAGACGGATTAAATCTCCGCTTACGCGTTAATAGCTCGAATTATATCGCGCGTTAATTGTCCCCAGTTGGTCAAAATGGCCGAAATGACAACCTTTAAACCCTCAAAACTTTACGAAAAATGATCACAGGTGAAATATCTTTTCAAATTTAAGCCAAGGACAACAATACCTTTTGAATGATATAAAAAAATTCCGTCAAAAATGGCTAGTTAAAAAGTCGAAATTTGTCTGAAGAAAAAAAAAACCCACCCCGAGCACAAATATTCCGTTATTTTCGTACCGAAAGTCGGAACAATAAAATAAATATAAATGAAGATTCAGTTGAAAAAGGAAATTGTGATTAATAGTTGTTGTTTTTAGGGTTAGCAGCAGCTGTAATCCCCAGTTCTTGTTGTGCCTCGGTCTCCACTTCAACATCACAGATCTTCATCCATTAACCACAAGTTTCAACATATCCGATGGCCTCTAAAATGACTGGACTATCGTTTGTTTGACTATAGAAGAATGTACGTTGAGAAAATTTGGCAATTAACTGATTTTAACTCATCTCTGAGTCTGATTTATTTTGAACACTAAGACAGTATAGCACTTCGAAAACACAGCAAAAAACTGGGAGTTTTTCACGCAGAGACGAATCGGGGCTTCGCACCACTTGCGATACAACACAAACATAGAAAAAAAACATAAGGCGGACAAAATTTTAAATGTTGAAAAAATCTAGGTGAACCAAAATTTTCGAATGTCTTGATAAAAAACAACTAGGGGCCCAGCTAAAGTTGGAGGCACATGTTTGTTGTTTTTCGATTTTGCTTAACTGATTCGGCACGAGAAATGAGATTTCAAAAAATTAGACTTTGACCAAAATCTTAGTTGTTTATCTATTAAAGAGAAAAGTAAATATTTTGATTTAATCAGTTTTCCCAAAAAGATAACATTTTTTTTAAAAAAAAACTAAGGAGTCGGCGCTTCTGCACGAACAATTACGGCAAACGTTTTTTTCAATGGCTTTTTACTTCTGATTTAGTAAGTTTAAAGAAAATTCGAAAAGTTTCTAGAAAACGGTCAAAAGGTTTAGAAAAACAATCAAACGACTTTCCAAAATCCATAACACTTTGCTGCAAGAAAACAGGCAGGGTAAGACCACTTAAGCAGAAAAGATTTCTAAAACTGGGTTTCTCGATTGAACACAACGTGAGAACTAGCACGGTAGTTTTCGCGTAAAGTCATATACTTTCCAACAAAGCTGTCGAAGTTTCGAAACTTTGACTTCTTTGAAAGCCATAAAAATTTTCTTGAACGAACTGGGCATAGCCAATTGTAAACCTAGGTTTTTAAAAACCTCTTATTTCAATTTACCCTATGATACCAGATTTGGCAAAATATTTAGGGAGCAGAGTCCAAAAACAGTGAAAAAATCAAAATTTGACATTTCCGAGAATCATAGCTTTTTGTGTGAGCAAAAGTGGGTACGCGCTTATTCCGAAGCAATTCACGCAGCCTGCAATTGCGATGGAACTAAAAATGTCAGATTTGGTTGGTTAGTCTTTGAGACCGATTGGCAAGCATACAACCAACTTGAAAAGTGCGGAGGGAAGTGTTAAAATTGGGTTTTTTGAAACTATCCAAAATTATGTCATTAGACCGATGAAAAACAGGCCAAATTAATTGAGGTCGAAATTCAAAGAAAACACGAAGTCAATGTAAATAAAATTACAAACTGTAGGACTAAATCAAACACTAAAAGCAATATTAGAAAACTGCGCGCAGCAAGAAAAAAACAATTACACGATGTGACAACTAACTCAAAACAGATAAGCAGACAAATAACTGGCCAACAAGGTTATCTGAAACAGAAGATTTCCCGTTTGAGAAATAGTGTCCTGGTCAAATTTGAGTACAGGACTTTTGCCGTCACAGGCATATTCGTTATTTTTGGGTTTGGATTCATTATGAACCAAAATACAACTGATTCAAGCGATTCTGGTAAGCAAACTAATAACCCAAAAGTCTATATTCCGGTTTGATAAGGCTTGCAAAGCGCAAGCGTAGAAAAAAAACTGATTGGGTCAGGTTCCTCATTGGATATGGCTCAAACTTTAAAATACGCAGGAAAATGAAACTTGTGCCCTCGTAATATGCTAAGGTCCACTGACAAAAAAGGCAATGTTGTAGCGCTCAAAATTCAAAAACCGAGCAGACGTTTAAGGTTCTGTAAGAGTACTGTCATTGCTCGTTACCAAGCTGTTCAACTTGAACTAGACTTTCAAATATTATCAAAATTTTGGTACAAAACATAAACATTATAAACTTCAAAAAGTTTTAAAAATTCATTTGTGAAAGAATACGTTTTGCATTACAATTTATACAGCAGAAACTTTTTTCTTACCACCTTTTTTTCAAATCGGAAGTTCGATCACGTAAGGTGTTTTTTTCCAGCGCGAGTTCAATGCCTCAAACAGCAATCGCTAAGTGTCAAGTTTGGTATCATAGTCAAGATACAACGGCGAAGCTGCATTTTGTAAACACAAGCGAGAAAACTTTTAAAAAAACAAATTGAAAGCAGGCTAGAAAGAAATAACCTTGAAAACGTTTGCTGAGACAAAATCGAATCTCTGATCTGGAGATTACGTTCACGCATCTACGCCACTACTATCTACGCCACCGCCAAAATTTACCAACACCACTACTAAAGCAGCTAGAGCTTTTTTTCATAGCCAAAATTATTCAGCAAAATTACCACCCAACAAAAATTCAAACTAATATAAGATGACTGAATCGAACCGACCTGTTGAATTAATTTTTTAAATTCAACTCAAGTCATCAATGTTTATCAGATGTATAAGACAGCCACTAGACAGTTGCAACATTTTCATACATCTGATAACTCTTATACATCTGAAAAGTTTTATACACCCATGAACTCGGGGAATTAGAAAGTTTTTTTTCATTCATCTCAAGTTATCAATGTTTATCAGATGTATAAGACAGCCACCAGACAGTAGCAACATTTTCATACATCTGATAACTCTTATACATCTGAAAAGTTTTATACACCCATGAACTCAGGGAATTTGAAAACTTTTTTTCATTCATCTCAAGTTATCAATGTTTATCAGATGTATAAGACAGCCACCAGACAGTTGCAAAATTTTCATACATCTGATAACTCTTATACATCTGAAAAGTTTTATACACCCATGAACTCAGGGAATTAGAAAACAACACAACTTTTCAAGTTTTATTTCAAAACCTCAGCTTTCAATTTTGAAAAAAAAAAATTATGCCGCCTTATATCGGATTGGCACTTTTTTTGATACAAAGAAAATTTTTCATTCGGCTAGGAAATCTAAGATAACTTCCTATTTCGAAATTAGAAGTCGAGCACATGCAATCTTGCTGTTTGATAAAGGAGGTTGTCTTGCTTTTAAGGAAATGTACTTCAAAAGAAATCAAACATCAAACCACGAAAACAATTTAGGCCTGGATCAATTTTAGGTTTTTTCCTGAAAAACGAAAAAAAACCTCGCAATCTATATGAGTCAAATTTTGAAGAGAAAACATTCAACCCCATTTATCTTAACACAAAATATATCTATAAGTTTATTTCTTGTTACGACTGAAAAGGCTGAAACAGTATTAATGATTAGACACGAGACAGTGCGCAAGTTTAATAGTGCACATAATTTTGGTTGAAAACTTAACTTTTGTATGGATCACACCTCCGCCTCCTGGAGAGTGATCGATGGGTACAACTCCTACTAAGATTATTATATTTGGAGACAACAAAAGGATAACATTTGTCCATCTTCAATTAAGCAAAAGAAATTTTTCTCATGGCGTCTTGAATTTTCTTATTTTAAGACAATTGAAAAATGGCTAAACTGTAATGGCACCTGAATTTTTTTCAAAAATAAACGCTGATTATGATAAAAAAAAACAAAAAAAGGAAAAATTTTGAAGCGATGATATGAAGACTCATTCATCTCGGCACTGGGGAACATTCAATGTTAAGAATTATTTTTCTTATTACAACTGAAAGGGCTTCAATTTGTAATATCACTCAAACCTACGCGACGTGTTTTTGTGGTACCTGAATTTTGTAAAAAAAATTATCTGAAAGCTAAAAAATAATGGCGTGGTTAAATCAATTTGGAACCAAAATTTTTTAAATTATTTCATTTTTTTCGTGGATGAATGGCCTTAACTGGGGACGGAGTGAATCGAATCTAAGAATAATTTGAGCGCAAAAAAAACTACTTTCCAAAAAAGCAAACGAACCAACGGCATCATCAAGAACTATATAAGAATCTTCACTAGTTCAGTTTTTTCCTCTTTTCTCGGCATCGCTTACAATTTAGCACAGCATTACATGCATACTCTGTAATTAAACTGAGCGCAAACGTGTGCGAGCTACGTCAGAAAAATATAGCGTTTAACTTGCTTTCCGGACGTATTGATTTTTTGAATAAATTCGAGCCGTTTTAGGTCAAAAGTCTCGACATTGTTTTTTGAAGTTTCGCAATAAAATTTTTGTCGGCTTTTTTGTTAAGATTGCTGCAAAAAAAAAACGCGTGACAAACCTTTCTCTGATGATTTGGCCAAAGTTATTCACCAGAAAGGTGATAAACAATAATCGGAAAGCAGATTAATATTTCAACGCGAAAATTGCCAAAAGACTTATTATCTCATTCGACTGTCGCAGATGCTCTGAAAAGGCAGTATTGAAAAAGTTTTCCCCAAAATTTACAGAAAAAGGCCCATAGCTTTAAACTTCAGACGATGAACTGTTCATTCTACTTGTGGAAGTGAAGTTTTTTTGATGACGATTTCAAGACACATTAAAATTTCGGAATTCTGAAAATACGGCTTTACATAGATGTACCTTCAATTACTGATCAGCTGATTACCTGTATCAAAATGTGGCAGAACTTTTTGCCCCAGTTAGCCCTAAACCTTTTAAACTCAATCTTAAAACGTTGTTTTGAAGTTATTCAAAAAAAATGTACAACGCTGAAAAGGCGCAATTATTTTGTTGCATGTTATTTTTCATTGCACTTACATTTTAGAAACTCAAATTTTCAATTTCAATGGCATTTCGAAGTCTCAGCGTCTTAAATTTCTGAAATAATTCTGATCTTAAGACTGAAATAAAATTGAAATAAGAACCAAATTTTTGAAATTGCATTCGAGTTGCCAAAAGATCAAGCTTAGATGATTGCGCTTTTTGAGAAGTCAGTTTTTTAACATAACTTCAAGCCCCTAACATCCAAAACAAATTTCATTCAGCAGCAATCTGACATGCAATTTTTTAATAGAAAAGAACCTGTAACACGCCAAAAGGCAATCGCGAAGCTTAAATTATTTCAAAATTTAAGACGCCCGATAAATGTGTTGATAGCTACAAAAACCGTTTCACCTCATGATCTGTCGGAACGTTCGTTGCTAGCTGCACAGGAAGTTTCCGCACCCTTAATGATATTGCAAAAGATTTGTCTACTGCTCAGGGCCTGGGTCAATTGTAAAAAGATAATGTGGATGCTAAACTTACGAAAAGTAGGTTGAATGAAATGGATAAACCGTGATAAAACACACCATTTATTCTGCTACGAAAACACTGCTTGCTCCTTCTTGACTTGACTAACTGCAGTCACCGCATGAGTTGAGAGGTTTAAGAATAGTTACGTTCTTCTAAGCAGCACTCAGTTAAGAATTCGTCTAGTTATTACACTGCAATACATTCAGGACAGTACAGTACTACAGTACGGTCCATCATAATTAAACAACGATAGTAGATTTGCTGGATAGTAACTTAACAATGTAATGTAATGTTAATATGTGTTTGTTATATGTTTGGGTTGGGGGCTTTTGGGCCCTTCTAAGTGAAAGATAAGCACCATGTTGAAGAGAGAAGGAAAGTGATAAGATAGTTTAGCTGGAGGACGACGAGGAGGAAAAGGAGCAGGGGTCGAATATTCTGTTCACACATTCGGGCGGGACTCAACTGATCAGCTATTATTATTTAATAATTGTATAATAATTTAGATAAAGGTTGAACAAGTTCTCATAGTTTGTATCTTTCTAATTATCGATCAGTTGAGCGATACGACAATATGCAATTGCATACGCGAAAATATTTTGAGGTGGCTTTTGGTTGAAGTAAATGGCCTGTTTTTGACCACTGTCAAAGAGAGACAAGTTGTACCTTAATGAACTTTTACTAATGTTCAGTGCCGTTTCTAAGCAACATTTCCATTTTAATAATCTATTATTAATAAAAAAAAATTGAATATTTGCTATATGTTCTACAAAAGTACAACTTGTACTTGGTTATTTCAGATCTTTGCGACTAAAGCAGGCTGTTCTTTGTTGAGAAGTTATTAGCACGTAAATTGGTAGCATCGAAGGAGGGAACCTCGATGAGAGAGGAGGTAGAGAGGTGACCTTGGTTGACCTGGTCAATTTCACTTGTAGTCTAGGAGACACACAAGAAGCTTGAACAAAGCCACACAATTGAGGATAGGGTCCAACCTGCAGACCAAAGTGACAACTAGACTGTCGTTAACATGAATCACAGCACTGCAACACTACGACTTCGACTAGGCATTTCTTGGGTCGAATTGGCAATCATGAGGAGCTCATCTTGAAGTCAACTTTGAAATCCAGACGTCACCTTTTTTATTGAAATGTCACTTGAAAAAAGCACCATGATTGGTTGTTGATTATTATTTATTATTATGGTAGGGAAATAAACGACAGGAGTCCATGACGAAGTTCTGCTGCTGTGACGTCATCAGAGGATGGGTGTCTTTTTGAGTCTTGATAAGAGAACGCAACAGAACAAAAAACTGAGAAGCACCAGAACATGATCTAGTAAGCAACCAAAGAGTAGTAGTCCAATATAAACATTTAGTAATCTCTGCGCATTAAAATTTCTTATTTAGAACTATGCATTCAACTCAGAAAGACGAAAAAGACAGAAGATAAATTAACCGACTAGGATATGTAGCATTTCATCAAGTTCAGATTGGATAATGAGTTTCTGTCAATTTCTCAAACAGTAGTATCTACGCTATTCTTCCACAAAAACATTAAATTCATTTAACAAATAAACATAAATTTTAGAGCAAATGATGCAACACAACAGAGCGAAGTGCTGATCTTTTTGAGACATGGGGGCAAATTGCACAATTTATTACGTCACTAACTGGGTTCCAAGAAAACCGGGACGTAAGATCTTTTAAAATTTTCTTGAAACCCTGGTCACAAACTTAGCATCGACTAGAAAAATAGAGCGGATATTACTTGAGATAGGACCCCTTACCACTGCTCAAATGAATAATTTCCTCTTCATCTAAGAACGCTAATCACTTTTATTGCAGCTTCAAGCATTCATTTTTGGACAAAATCTTTTGAGGGGTCTTATCGAAATCTAGTTTGCAGTGTATTGCATCAGTCGTGAGCTGAGCAGAGCAAAGGATAGGCACATTAAATAAAATTTGAAAAATGCAGAAATGCTCATCAACCTCAAATGGTTAAACTTGTATTAACATAAAGCACAAATATATATCTATCGATAGCTTCTAAAATGTTTAAAGCTCCGATAAGCCATTTCTGGTTTTAAAATATTAATCTGCGAGACAAAAGGCAGAGAAGACAGGGGGTTCCAAAAGTATCGATTGCCAGGCATCGAACCAGAAGATTGACACGGCAAAGCATAGCACAAGGAGGGATGTTAAACAGATGAAATACATGTAGTATTGTATAATATTGCATTCTAACAGTACAGCACATCAAGTAGGTTTGTTATTTGTGGCATAGTCTTTTTGTGATACAGCGACAAACCAGCACCGATTTAGAAAGGACAGTCATTTCACAGGACAAAGGCTAACTATTGAACTGGATAGAAATCTCTTCAATCCCCCAACCATAAACATCTCCACTAAGACATCCAAAAATGTTTCTATCCAGCAGTGTCTTAGCAATGGTTATTCAACTTTGGAGGCATGGCAGCAAAAACGTCAAAAAATGTCACGATAATAGAATTTGAGTCACAATTTTAGCAACAAAGAGGGGAATTTAATGTTTTTTTTTGCGTGAACTTGCGAGCAAATTGTATCTATCGTTAGCATGTTTAGTTGTTTACTTTAGAGTTAACATTGGTCGTCGAGATTGTTTGGTTGCTGGGTGGTAGGTAGAGGTGTGGCATTGCTGCAGTAGAGCGTGGTTGCGAGAACAAGAAGAACGAGATTGAGAGCTAGCCAGAAGTGTTGGCTTTGGTCAATGGTGGGACGGCGGCTGCATCTGAGCTGCTTGTTGTGAGGTGGGAGAGCCAGTATTGTGTCCGTGAAGTTGATGTTGTCCAACTGTATTGCTGGCTCCCACGACCGAACTAGTTTGTTGTTGCTGTTGTTGTTCGTTCTCCTGCAGGAACATGGCGAATGCGGCCTCTTCGTCGTCGTTCAAAGTGTGCACACGAGGCATCATGTCTCCAGCCCCACTCATCATCTCCACGTGACTAAATTATCAATCCAAGGTCAAGGTCAAGCACCAATAAATTCATGCACATCACATCACGTTGATTGGCGTGGCCATTTAATAATAACCTAAAGCAAAATATGTACAATAGCGTTGATGTCTTGCAACAGATTTAGTTAGCTAGAACAGTGCACCTTCTAGACGGAACTGTATTGGATCAGGAAGTTCATTGACCTTCATTTGAGAGATTATTAACTCGAGAGTCTCGTGAGCCGTAGTCATCGTGAGATTGATATGAAAAAACTATGTAAATTGAACCTCATTCCATTTTAAGACAAATTTAAGAAACCAAACCTTATACAAACTCTATAAAACATCAACACTTAACAAAGACTGCGTCGCGAACTTCAGATCGCGATCACATAGAGTGATACAATAATCCTACGACACAAATTGAAATTATTCATCACATAGGCACACCGTACAATGTGATGAATACAATAACAAGCTTCGAACATAGGCAGGGGCGGATTGCGGGAGCAGAAGTCCAGCCCCCTCAGGGATCCCCCCTTCCGACTCATAGGTTCCCCTTTTGTTACTATTTTTAGACATCCATTTGTGCCTAACAGACATTGAAATTATTCTAAGGTCTCCTTTGACGCCAATATATACTAATCTTGAGGTGGGAGCGTTTGCAGAAAAAACGCAATTTTTTGGTCATAAATTTGCAAAAACCTTTGGAAGGGCTCAGAAAATTCAATTTACGAACAAATTTTCAAAATCGGAAATACTCTAGAACCGCTCCTGTATTTATGTATGTGTGGTATGTACGTGTACAGGGGCGGATTTAGGGGGGAGGGGGCGGACGACCCCCCTCCTCAGGGATTCGACCCAGGGGCGGATCTAGGAATTTTGAAAAAACAGTCAAAAAAGCCGATTTAGGGCACTTTTTGAAAAATTTTGACAAAAAAAATCGCGTTTTTTTGGCGCGCGCTCCCCCTCAAACTTAGTATATATTGGCGCCTTTAGAAAAATTTTAGGGTCGGTCGGCCAAAAATGGATTTCTGAAAAAGTATCAAAGGGGGACCCTTTGGGTCGGCAGGGGGTCGAATCCCTGAGGGGGGGCGTCCGCCCCCCCCCTAAATCCGCCCTTGATTCGACCCCCTGCCGACCCAATGGGTCCCCCTTTATACTATTTTGAAATATCCATTTTTGGTGACGGACCCTAAAATTTTTCTAAAAGCGCCTTTGGCGCCAATATGTAAAATTTTTGAGGGGGGAGCCCGGGCCGAAAAAAAAACATTTTTTGGTCAAAATTTTCCAAAAAAAGTCTTTTTTGACCTGCTTTTTCAAAAAATTGCCTGCGGCGCAGAAAATTTGGCTAAACCAGCGTCTTTATAGTGCTTTAGGAGGGCTCGGGGAATCTATTTGATCGACCTAATAAAAAGGCGTCAAAATTTTCGAAAATTTTTTGAAAATCCGCCCCCCCCCCCTCGAGAAAATCCTAGATCCGCCCCCTGTGTGTGTTTGTGTGTGTGTGTATGTATGTATGTATGTATGATGTATGTATGTATGAACAGAGGTGAAGGAATATAAAAACCATCCTCTTCGAATATCTCTGAACTGCGCTTCACCCACCTTTCAAAATATCAATTTTTGTGCTTGCTTTCCGTGGTATTATGGCTAAATGCGTGATGTTACGATGTAAAATATAAAGAACAAATCAATTCATATTTTTCGGTTTGTTCGCCATGCCAAATTTGATTGCATTATGAGAAAATTAAAGAAGCTTTTTCAAAACTGAATTTGAAAGGTGGGCCGGGAGTGGAAAAGCTCTTTGCACTTTTATTATTGGCTTTTTTCATAACACTAATATAATCAGAGAAAATTGGTTTATATGTATTTTTATTCTGCTAGGAATTCACTTTTTTCGAAGCATTTGCATTTTTGTTATCGAAGATGAAAGCGTGCCTTCCATTTGAACATGAATTGAACTTGACAATAAATCAAGTCAAACCGCGAAAAAACAAATCTGACCGTGAAAAAAAACGAAAAAAACAACTAGACCCATATTAGTGTCTTAACTACGTTTATTGATACTGAAAGTTTTACGTGCATTTTTCAATTTCAACGAAACAGCAAATTTTGGCAGTTTGGCAAACAAGTTTTAAAATCATATGATTAAAAAAAAACAGCATGGACAAACTTTCTGGAAAAAAGAGAAACACGACTACAATTAGTTTTCACTGGATTCAGAAACATTTGATAGCACAATATTATTATTTAAATTTATCGCCATTACAATGGCCTATTTTAAGAACCTAATTAATTTTCCTTGATCGACGAAAATTCAAAACCCCTAATTAACTTCCTTTTTTATCAATTATTTCCAAAGCCATTTCCTATGCTGTAAAGAATACAACGTAATGTTTTTTCATATCGATGTTTGTTATCGAAAAGCTTAAAATGAGCTCCGCGTGGGAGAAAAAATGAACGTAGTCGAATAGACAGTTGGAACAGCGTTAATGAATTCAGCTGCAGAGTTTCATAGAACAGAGGAGCCGCACTGGCGTAAAGCTATTCGATTGCAAGAAACGAATGACGTTTTTTATTTAAATAAAAAACAAATGGGAGACATCTGACTGCGATTCTATCTATTTCTCTGTTATTTCAAAAATCAAAGTTCTCGCTTATTTTCAACTTTTTTTTCGAAAGAAAAAAATTGAGCACTACCTAGTAAATAAATGAGAAAAAGCTTCAAAAAATAAAATGTCAATCCATCGAATAGGATAGGCAAACGTGAACAAATTTTGGGATTTTCTTCAGAGAAAAACATACGACGCTAATCAATAAAGTCAAATCTACTTCCTTTATTAACAGAGTGGTTACAAAATCTTAACCCAGTTACAAAACATAGTATTACCTAATATTTAAAAATGTAGCAGATACTTTGAAAAAAAGTTGGTATAGATAAAATTAACGCAAGGACAACCACTACACTTAGCATCCGACTATCTGCTTTTAAAGACAGACAGTTTTCCATCTGCGCCAAGGGAGCTAAAACCAGTCAAAAACATTATTTCCTATAAAATTCCAATCTCGCTCAGAAACGATGGCAATTATGCATGTATCAATGAGTTCCATTTTTGAGACTAAAACATTGGAAAAAAGTTTAACCGTAAAATAATACTGCGCTCCGATCTTGTTACCATCCATAAGCCGAGAAGAAGCCGCCGCTGATGGGTGCCCAAAACTGCACGAGAACATAAATTCCCGTAATCCATCATTAGCGAAAATCTACTTGATTAATTTTAAATATACAAATCTCTTCTGATTTTTTTAAAACTTGATCACACATACTTTGCGCTCTCTTCGTATGCTGCCAGTGCTTCGCTCAGTTCTTGGTTGAAGTCCTCCGTCGGGTGCAAAAAGGGTCTCTGTCATTCCTGTCTCTCCCGCCGCATTCGGCCCCATATCCCCCTCCCCAGTCGCGTGAAATACTCTGGCATATAAGCTGTCGGGTATCGTACTCGCTCAGATCGAAGTCTAAAGTAATGACAAAATTTGCTCATTTAGTTAACAATTATTCAACTACCATATTCAGTTGCCTTTCAAATGAACATGCATT